TAGGTTAAAGTTTTTACCTGTTAAAAAGGGGGTTTGTGGAGCGTTCCGAAGTTTTCTTTTTCCTCCACGAGCTTTTTTTAATTACCCCTTTCTTAACATTTTATTTTTGGCGTCCCCGGGTGGGCTGCATTGGCTGGTCAAATCGAGAAAAAAGAAAAAAAGAAAGGCTTCTAGGAATATTATACAGTAAATAATGCAGAGTATTGATATATTAAAAAGGGCTAGAGCCCCCAAAAGAGCTATTTTTACTCGTCTGTCCACCGAGTTTTGGACTGAAATAGAAAAGCCTGATTTCGATGTAGAAAAATATAGATCTAAATATAACCGAATTTGTGCTCTCTCTAAGGAAATAAGTGAAATTAATTCAAGGTATCATGGGCTCCTTCTGGAGGATGAAACCATAACGGAGGTCAAAATCGAAGAAGAATTCGAGGGCTTTGAAAACTATGTTCAAGGGATGTTTGACATAAAAAATAAATATTTGTCTCGGTGTGAAACCGTGAGAGTTAGGGTCGACGGCTCATTGGTGGAGTCCGCGGCGAATTCGGTTGTAAATACCGAATCTAAAAGAACTATTAGGTTGCCAAAAGTGGAGCTACCAAAATTAAAGGGCAACCTAGAGGATTGGCTCTCATGGTGGGGGCAATTTAGTAAAATTAATGACGATGAAACTCTTGGGGATGTAGATAAATTTCACTATCTGCTACAAGCGGTAGTCGAGGGATCCAGAGCTCAACGTCTTGTGTGCAGTTACCCTATAACTGAATATAATTATCCCAAGGTAATACAAGCATTGAAAGATAGATTCGGAGAAAAGAACCTTCTCATAGAACACTATATAAGGATACTGTTGAAACTGGTTGTTTCTAATGCAAGGAAAGAAAACATTCCTCTTGACGAGATCTACGATGATCTAATGGCATACTTAAAGAACCTGGAATCACTGGGTGTAAACACGGAGATATAACAGGCGTGTTTCTCTACCCATTGGTTGAGTCGAGTCTGCCATTGGACATTATTCAGGTGTGGCAGAGGAATCCTGCTGTGGGCTATGGGATAAAAGAAGAAGGAGCGGAGAATGGAGATAAGAGCGATGCCAGCGGTAGACTACAGGCTCTGATGGACTTCCTTCGGGATGAGGTGAAGGGTGCTGAGCGAATGGCATTTTCTAAGGAGAATTTTGAGGCTAATAGCTCAATGAGGGCTACAGGTTCTCAACTAAAGACTCCCCGGAAGACACCGCCCACTGCCTCCAATTTATTCGGCAGCGCATTTAACAGAAAATGCATATTCTGCCAGAGAGATAATCACCTGAGTAGTGAAGATGTAGTAGAAGATGGGACGATCATATTTATTCACATTCAGCTGAGCTTGGAAGCCATTAGTGGAGGTTTGGTTCTCTGAAGTTTCCTCTGCTGGTGCTCCGCCAGCCTCCGTTCCCGGGCCAGTCTCTGGAGGTCTGCGTCCTCCACATCCCAGTTGTCTGCCGGGGCCTCGTCTATCACTCCCAAGTCTGGGCCTGCCTGCATGCAGTAGTTGGGGTTTGAGTCTAGGGCGAGTCGGTTGATGCGGTTGGTGACAGCGGAGTCATTCCTAGCGAGAGGGATCAAAAGATAAAGGAGGCTGAAGTCTGCTTTAAATGTCTAAAGGGAAATCATCTGAAAAGGGAATGCCGAGCAGACATAAAATGTAGAAATTGCGGAAAAGATCATCTGGATATCTTTTGCAATAAAATTGCTTTGAAGCAAGGAGGAAACAATAGTTTCAAAGGTGAAAAATCCAAGGTTGTTAATGAAGGAAATGCAACATGCACGGGTGTTAATATGTCTGCGCGAACATGCGCCAATGACATCTGACTTCCGTGGCGAAATTGAAAGGGGCTAAAGAGACTAAAGAAGTCAAGGTGTTATTTGACACCGGAAGTCACTACTCCTATATAAAGAGATCTATTGTCGAAAAACTGGGTTTTCAACAAAATAGGAGAGATAAGTTTGGAAAAATATATTTTCGGGGGAGGAAATATGAAGGAGGCGTTGCACGGAAAATATGTTTTTAAACTGGGAAGTCTAACCAATAAAATTGATGTAGACATAGTCGCCCTCGATCAACCAGAAATTTGTGCAAGGATACCGCCGATTAAAACGGAAAAAGATCTATATTTACCCGTCAAATTTTAGAAATGAGGAAATATATATTTTAATAGGTAGTGACTACTTTGGACAATTACTGACCGGGAAGGTCGTCCATCTAGGAGAGGACCTAACTGCCGTAGAGACAAAATTAAGATGGACGCTTATGGGGCAATCTCCGGTGGTGTGTAAGGAGGATAAGGTCAAAATTGCATTGAATATGTTGGTTGCAAGAAACAACTTGAAGGATCTTTGGGAGCTGGATGTCTTGGGAATCCAAGATTTCATCGAAGTTGTCTCAAAAAAGAAAAGGGAAACTGAACTAAAGGAGCATTTCATAAAAAATATAAAGAGGGATGAAGATAAACGATATTCAGTCGCGCTACCATGGAAATGCAAAAGAAATAATATTCCCTCGAATTTAGAAATAGCGCAGAGGAGATTGGAAGCATGCACTAGTAAATTAAGGAAGGAGAAGATGGTTATAAGGATTATTCTACTATTCTTCAAGAATGGGAGAGAAAGGGCCTAATTGAGAGGATAGAGGAGAATAGGCCTCAAAAGAAGGGCATTTTTTTACCGCATAGGCCGGTGTTCAAGGCTGAAAGTAGGACGACGCCTCTTCTTCCTGTTTTCGATGCCTCCTGCAGGTCGTATAATGATCTTTCTCGGAATGACTATTTAGAAAAGGGACCTAACCTTTTGGAAAAAATACCTGAAATATTAATTAGGTTTGGAGAAAAAGGTATTGGTGTTTTAGCCGATGTTCGAAAGGCATTTCAGATGATTACATTGCAGCATAAAGACCAGGACTTTCTTCGCTTCCTTTGGTGGGATCAAACTGACCCTATGAAGGTAACCGTTTTTAGACATAAACGTGTGGTATTTGGGCTCAACTGTAGTCCATATATCTTGGGTGCAGTTATTGATCATAATCTGAATTCTGTACAAGGTCCGGCAGCTGAAATCGCAAAGACTATGGCGAGATCCTTTTATATGGATAATTTGGTAACATCCCTCTCCTCTCAGGAGCAGATCCAACAATTCTAGAATACAGCTGTCAATATCATGGAAATGGCAAAAATGGACTTGCGTGAGTGGGAATTTAATTTACCAAGGAGTAATTCAAAGGAGGAAAAAGGAACTACTACCAAGGTGTTGGGACTGGTGTGGGACAAAGTAGAAGATGTACTTAATTGTGATGTTTCAATTGAAAAGGACCTCCCCCGAAGACAAACCAAGAGGATTGTCCTTTTTTTCTAAAGTTCAGCAAGTTTTTGATCCCTTGGGAGTTATAGTCCTATATTATTGCCTCCTAAACTATTATTACAGAGGTCCTGGGAGTTGAAAATTGGATGGGATTCTCAATTACCCGAATATATACCCAAATTGGGCTATTAAGTGAAATCAAAATTCCCAGGAATATTTGGTTTGATCAAACTAATAAGAATGAAATACACGTCTTCTGCGATGCCAGTAAATCCGCTTATGCAGAAGTGGCATATATGAGAAGTGAAGTGCACACAGGAGTACATTTGTCTCTGCTTTGGAGCAAGTCTAGGCTTGCGCCAACCAAGAGGGTAACAATTCCTCGGTTAGAACCTTTGTCCTGCGTTTTAGGAGCTAGACTTGTTAAATCTATTTCGACTGCCTTAACAAATAGTTGCCCTGTTACTTTATGGACCGATTCCTAACCGTTATGGCTTGGCTAAAGAGAAAAATGAGTGGAATGTGTTTGTAAGAAACCGAGTACAGGAAATACAAGACACTGTCAATAATGAGAACTGGAAGTTTGTTTACGGATAATTAAATCCAGCGGATTTGCCTTCTCGAGGGTGCTCTATCGTACAATTTGTCTCGACCAACTGGTGGGAGGGTCCTGAATGGCTAAAAGGAGAAAAGGAGAGTTGGCCTAGTTTTGAACCGACTATTGATGAGGAAGAGATCATCAAAGAAAAAAGAAAAACCTTACAGGCCCACACCAATCTCATTGTCGAGGCAAATCGATGGTTCCTAGATAGAAGATCCAAGTATAGCCTAAACATTAGGATTATGGCTTGGGTTTAAGATTCTTGGACAATGCGAGAATAATACCCACTGAAAGGGGAAATTTGAAAGTAATAGAGTTATAAAGGGCCGAAAGGAAGCTGTTGAAATTGGTTCAACAAGAGACTTTCCCAGGAAAACAGGCTCCGAAAAATGGATTAAAGGCTATTAAATCCGTCGAAGGTTTGTGGTGCGTTGAGACGAAACTGCTACATGGACAAGATTCAGAAGTGTTTAAACGACATATTTTACTACCTCGTAATCATCCTCTGGTGGAACAGATGGTTCGTGAAATACACCAACAAAATGGGCATGGAGGAGCCCAATTCATTCTTTCACAATTGAGAGAGAAATTCTGGATCATTGGTGGTCGCAGATTTATTAAACAAATAATTGGAAAATGTGTGATATGTAGGTGGCATAATCAGAAACCTATTCAGACTCTTGGCGCGGCTTTGCCGACTAATAGAATAGGGTTAGGCAAACCCTTCGAGGTGACAGGTGTGGATCTGTTGGGACCGCTACATCTTAAAGGTGGCAGCAAGGTTTGGGTGGCCTTGTGTACTTGCGCTGTTTACAGAGCTGTCAACCTAGAGATTGTGAGAACATTAGAGGCAAACACTTTTTATTAGCTCTAAAAAGATTTAAAATACAATATAACGCGGCTGATGATTGTAAAACGAAAATTGCAATTATACCACGAATGTTTCTTCTAAACAAAAATCGAAATTTATTTTAAAGAGAAATAACGATTTTTTCTAACTTTAAGGATGAAGTATGATATGATGAATTGTGAAGAGTAATGACAAACGGAAAAATAAAAGTTTCCAGGGGCGGGAATCGAACCCACAACCTTCTGCTTACCGGGCAGGTGCCATGTCCACTAGGCTACCCTGGACGTATTTTTCCGTTCGTAAATAATATTTAAAGTAACTTATAATACATTTAAAATACAATATAACGCGGCTGATGATTATAAAACGAAAATTTCAATTAATTTGTCGGCGTGGACGCCCCGGAAAAATATATAGTGACAAGGGACAAATTTCTCAAAAACAAACGAATTACTTGAACGCTTGGATTGGGGGGAGATTGAAAGGGAATCGAGTGTAAAAATAATCCAATGGATTTTTATCTCTCCCTCAGCGCCTTGGTGGAGAGGGTTTTGGGAGAGATTGGTAAGGGTTGTTAAGAGTTTATTGGTTCGTATGCTCGGATTTAGAAAATTGAAATATGTACAACTTGAGACTGCTTTATGTGAGGTAGAGAGTATTATTGGATGTCTATAACCAAGACATGGAGAGAGAGACCGAGAGAGACAGAAGCGGTCTGCCGATGGCCACACCCTAGAACATACTGCTTCTGACCCTCTGCCAAAACTTGTACTGTTTACAGGGGTCGTCTATAAAATGTTCCCATGGGCCCCAGATGGGTTAGGCGTTGCTTTCTCCTCCTTTGTCCCCAGCTGTTACAGCTGACCGACCACTCTTAGTTTGAATACAAATAGGGGGTTTAAATACAAATAGTTTGTATACAAAATATGGGGTGGTCGTAAATAGAAACAGTGTACATTTTAATAGAAGGGTAGGATCTTATAAGGTATCGGCTCAAACTAATTGGAAGAAATGTGACATTTACTAAAAGTGTAATTATTATACAGTTTGAAATATCTACTTATATAATTGCCTTATTCTGTCTGTGTGAAGTTCACTGTGTGAAGTTCACGGATAGATTTTGGTCAGAATGGATAAAATAAAAAAAAGTGTCAAGGGATGGGAATCGAACCCACGACCTTCCGCTTACCGGGCAGATGCCATGACCACTAGGCTACCCTGGACATATTTTTCCGTTCATAAAGTTAATATATGATGCCAATATATATAATAATTGTATAAAATAATGCAAGACAAAATCACCGCGAATGTTTCTTTTTTTTTTAAGGCAATTTCTTTTTAAGGCAATTATCGTTTTGCACAATTACTTAATCTTTTAAAATAAATAACAATACTTAAATGAAAATATGCTTCTTTAAATAAAATAAAATAAACTTTTGAATCGGTAACCTTTATGAGAACCTTTAAATATATATAAGTACCTTTAATCGATAATATTTATAAGAATAAAATATGTAATTCATTAAATGGAAATTTAATTTTTAGTATCTAATTTATATTTTATTGTATTATATTATATATTATATTTTATATTATTATTTATATTATTATATATTATATATAATAATATAAATAATAATCTAAAATATAATATATAATATAATACAATAAAATATAAATTAGATACTAAAAATTAAATTTCCATAGTAAGTAATAGAAGTAAGCCTATCTCGAGCGGTGGCATGAGACCACGCGTATATTTTTAAAAGTAAATAAACTATGTTTCCTTCTTCACCGTATAACCTTTAAACTGGCCTTTGTCATTAATTCAACAAACATAACAAAGCGGCGACGAGGATTCAAGGTAAAGTGATCAATTTTTTTTATTAAATTGATTTTTTTTACGTAAAAAAATAATTCAAGATGGCTGCCGGTAAACTCATCCCGTTCCTGCAAGATGGCATCCAAAGCATGTACTTTGACGAATATGTTCGTTATTTCAACAACTACATGATTGCTGAGGATAAACTAAATGTGGAAGAAAACAGAAAAATTGCTATCTTTTTTAACAGTGTTGGAGCTGAAGCACAACGGCAATATTACACGTTGCCCAAGGCCAGTACTGTCACTTCCTTAAGTGAAGCTATTGATCTTCTGAGGCAGAGATATGTTAAATCTCGCCCCTGGGTAATCAGGATGAAGTTTAATGATCGAAGGCAATTACAAGGCGAGACAATCGCTGACTACATATCGGCACTACGCGCGCTGGCTAAAGACTGTGCCTATGGTTCTATGGAAGACGGATTGATTCGGGATCGGTTCATTGTCGGAACCAAAATCAAGCAACTACGGGATCGGCTTCTAGTGGAGACTACGGACTTAAACCTGGATCAAGTGGTGCAACTTGCTACTCAGTACGAGAAGGCCCAGGAGGACAACAATATGTTTGATAATACGCCCGAAGGGATAAATAAGATCGCTGCTAATGATCGCCGCACTGAGCCTAATCTTCGGGAGCGCAAAAAGATCTCGACAAACTTCAAGTGTCTGCGCTGTGGAGGTAAGCATAAAGCTACAAGTCCTGATTGTCCTGCTAAGGATGTAAAGTGTCACCAGTGCCTGAAGGTAGGACATTTTAAAAAGTATTGTTCATCTAAGTTTTCAGTTAAGAACATTACAATGGCACAATGTAACCAACCAATTCATCAGCCTTCAAAGCTTGAAATGGACTTGAATGTTAATGGTGGAACAAGTAATGTTCTTATAAAGTTCCTAGTTGACACAGGATCCTCAGTGTCATTGATATCAGAGAGTTTGTACAGCAAATTCTTTGAAAACATTAAATTAAACCCAGCTTCGGTAGCACTAAAAAGCTATACGCAGCAAGCTATTCACGTACTTGGTGACCTTCCCGCTAAAATTAAGCATGATAACACTGTTGTACATACGCTCTTACATGTTGTTAGAGCTGACTCACCTATTTTGGGATTGGAGTTATTCAATAAACTCGGGCTTCCCATAAAGGATGGAAAAGTCAACCAAATCACTGAAAGTAGCAAGATTCTTGAAACTTTACCCTTCGCAAAGGACATTGAGTACAAAATCTTTGTTGATACGAGTGTACCGCCGGTACAACAAAAACTAAGGAGACTGCCACCAGTCATTTTAGATGAAGTACACATGGAAATTCAACGCCTGGTGAAAATGGACATCATTGAACCCATTGTTACATCTAAATGGATTTCACCCATTGTGGTCTCCAAAAAGAAAGATGGCTCAATAAGGCTTTGCGTTGACCTAAGAGAACCGAACAAGGCTGTGATATTGGATGCCTACCCAATTCCACTAATTGAGGACATACTATCATCCTTGCACGGTTGTAAAATTTTTACTAACTTGGATCTATCCCAGGCATACCACCAGATAAGACTTCACCCTGATAGCAGGTACCTCACTGCTTTTATTACTCATATGGGGATTTACCAGTTTAAAAGGTTGCCCTATGGCCTGAGCTCAGCACCAGGTGCTTTTCAAAGATATTTAAGTGAACTTCTGATGGACATTAAAGGTGTAAGTTGTTACCTCGATGATATAATAATTGGGGGTAGCAGTATGGAAGACCATGATAAAAAGTTAAATCAAGTTCTGTCTAGACTTAGAGAAGTCAACCTTATGCTAAATGACGCAAAGTCAATTTACAGGCAGAAGTCCTTAAAATTTTTAGGGCACATAATTGATGATAATGGAGTTCATCTGGGTGAGGAGTTGATGAAACCTCTATTAGATGCCCCTCCTCCCAAAGATAAGTCAGGTCTTAGATCCTTAATCGGAATGATAAACTGGTTCCAGAAATACATCCCTAACAAAAGTACAATTATGGAACCTCTACAAAAGTTGCTTAAGAAAAGTGTTCCGTTTAAGTGGAGAGGAGAACATGCAAAAGCTTTGCAAACAGTAAAGGACTCTCTTAAAAAGGGACAAGTACTTGCCCTATTTTGTCCAAAATTGCCTACGGTCATTACAACTGATGCATCTCATAGTGGCATGGGATGCGTAGTCTCACAGCTGTCAGAAAAGGGAGAGGAGCGCATTGTGGCGTGTGCCTCAAGAACACTTTCTGATGCCGAGAGGAAATACTCAATCGTTGAAAAAGAAGTCCTCGCTTGTGTGAGGGCTTGTGAAAAGTTTAGAAGATGGGTCTGGGGTCTGAAGTTCACTTTGAGAACGGATCAATCCTCTCTAACGACATTGCTTACAACTAAAGGCAACGATAGAGCAGGACTGAGAATTGCAAGATGGTCTACAAGGCTCATGAACTTTGATTACAACATCGAATACAAAAAGGGAAGAGATAATGTATTACCTGATTATCTCTCCAGATCATCGCTATCATCCTATGAGGACTATGATGGTGAAGTTGAACTAATTGCATCCATCAATCAGGACATGTTGGCTATCAGTGAAGAGGAATTCCTGAGAGAATGTTCACTGTGCCCTGAAATTATTGCCTTAAAAGAGCAACTGATGAAACCATGGAGTAATAATGAATCTTCACAATTAAATAAATACTTCAGATTAAGAAATAATCTTTCAGTTCAGGAGGACCTGATCTTGAATGAAAAAGGGAAAAATTTAGTGCCAGTATCTCTCCGAAATAAATTGCTGTCCTTTGCTCATAAAGCTCATCAAGGAATGGTCAGAACCAAGCAAAGGTTAAGAGAAAGCTACTGGTGGCCCGGGATGGATAAAGACGTGGAAGACTTGATAACCAATTGCTGGGTATGTAAGAACCACGACAAGAGACTAAAGTCTATTCGAGTTCCCATAACTCCTGTTGAAAGGCCAGCAAATCCCTGGACTAAACTTGGCCTGGATATAGTTGGATCCTTCATTGACTCCGAGATTGGATTCAGGTTTGCTATAACCCTGATTGAATACACATCTAAATGGCCCGAAGTTTTCTGTACGAACAAGACTACCTCTAAAGTGATAATAAACTTTTGGAAGATGTTTTCTCTAGAGAGGGATTCCCACGTGAGATTGTCACCGACAATGGAACACCCTTTATCTCCGAGGAGTTTGAAGACTTCCTGAGGAGCAATGGCATTAAGCATATACAGACTGCTGACTACCACCCAGCTTGCAACGGAGAAGTGGATAACTTCAATAAAACTCTAAAGTCAACGGTCCTGACAGCACACCTACAGCATACAGAGGTTAAAAGAACGATACAACTATTCTTGAGAGAATACAGATCTACACCGCACACCGTTACGAAGCAAAC